TGGCTTTTGAATACTATTTCACTTGGATTATTAAAATTAATGACATCTAATTGTTTCTTCCACCTCTGCCCTGGATATTATAAATTTTCATCTTCTCTCTGTTGGTTCACACACTTGGGAGCTTCCTGGGTGAAATCTGAAACTGGCCGCCATAGAGGAGGGCAAGGAGGGACTGAAGAAAGAGGCAGGCCACTCCAGATTGATAGGTAGAAGGTTTAACAAACAAGGGGACTTACACAAGAGGCCTGTCTTGGGTGGCTGAAGGATGAGTAGATCTCTGCATCTGCCCACCAGAATCTTAGAGGCATTAACTGGGGTCAGTCAAATATTCAGTCCAGATAGTTTCAACAATACCTTACTCTCTCACGGCTGCGTTCCTGAAACAGCTCCTGGTGTGGGAATGGTGGGCAGCATGTACGTTCCAAAGACAGGTGAGGTGGTAAGAAACGTCCAAGTGCCCAGGTCCAGCTTGCAGGTCAATGAGCAGTCATGCCCTCTCAATGACCTCCTCCAAAACTCTAAAACCTTGATCCAACATTTATTTTCCTTTCTCTTTCTAATGATTTCCACCTCATCTATTCACATGTTCAAGTCTCCAGAAAAAACACAATCCCACAAACTTCCCTTGACTCTCTACTCTCTCTCTAGCTACCTCCTAGTCTCCTCTTTGCTTGACTTGTAAATCTTGAAAGATAATGGTAAAATTTTCATCAATCTAAACTTCACTGATTCTTTAAATTACCAGAAACATCCATGCCTGTCTATTGAAAGTGTTCTTGCCAAAAATAAGTGGAATTTTTTTTTTTAGGTAAGTGACCTGAGGACTATTTCCATCCCAGCATGTCAAGTAAATTCAAGCACACAACAAATCCTGGCCATTACATATTTTCATCTAACCCAGCAGGCCAGCAGTGGCTGTAGTTAATCTCTAACAATCTAGCTTGCTATATGGTCATAGAAGTTTAAAAGGAGAAAGACTTGACCATTAGTGAGTATTGTCTATGAAGTAATATACTAAATCAAGAGAAGAAACCAAGAACCAAAAAGTAACCTGCCCTAAAGTGCCCACAGAATAATTCTAAAAATTTGGATTCAAACCATTGTCTGACTCCCAAGTTTTGATCTTTCCAAATCATGCAGACAATGAATCAAGACTTTCATCTTTGCACGGAGAAAAACATTCTTTGTATGCTATAATAATTTTCCAGCAAATAGGATTTATAGAACCCACTGATTATATGGCACACTTAAGGCATAATCAATCATACTTGCCACTAGCATAGTATTTTGTGGATAAGTCTATATTCACAACCTACTATGCCCTAATGCTTAACTACTACTTTGTACTTGGAACTAAGTATGCATCATTCAGCCATCTGAATGCATAGATTTAGGAGTTAATATATAAGCTCTGTATTTCTCTAATGAGTACCTGTGCACAAATTGTGGCCTCACCTTCTCTCACTAGAATCTTCGCACATACATGCATGAGATGTACATATTTTAAGAAGAATTTTACATTGTTCAATAACATACTCCTCATATTCCCTTATACTCAAGGTAATATAAATGCATTTATAGCGTAATGACTTATTCACAGAGCAAGGGTTATGAAAGAATACCATAGCCCTTTATTTAAAAAAATAACTGAGGCACACTGAAGATTTAATTGATCCCTTGATACCATGAGCTGTAACATGATAAAGTGATAGAAATGTGAATGAAGCTAAACTCATAAAAATAGTAAACCTAGGCCCTGTTTTCAATAGGTTAACAAGTGCTTATTAAATTATGAAATAATGAATAATTGAATAAATGAATTCTTAGAACATTTATCCAAGATCTCACAAAAAGTAGAATAACATTATGTGAAGTTCATCTGCTATTTGATTTTTCAATAGTCATAACTTTCTCCTAGCCTTTTTTAAAATGTTACTCCATAGTATTAGTCATCTTATCACATGATGCTTAAAAATAACTTTAAGTAACTACTACTGACATTCAACACAGGCAGCATTATGCACATTCACACACACACACATTTTCCTTTTAAAATTTCGTGATGACATATGACCCTTTTAGCACAGTAATTCACAAAAAAAAAATGCAATTGCCTTCAAGCCAAAAGTTAAAACGCTTTTAAAAGCTATAAAAATGTAAATTGTTCAATTATCATGTATTAGCAAAGTAAAAGGAAAAGTTCCCAGTACAAATAATAAATTTTCATTTCTTATTTAATGAGTAAGTTTATTTTCTTTTTCTCCATATAAATTGAGCCTATTCATAAAAATAAGACTCAATATTTGTTAAACAGAAAAGGAGAAATAATTTTCACACGTAATATAAATAGAATCATGAATTGATGCCACATTATAATCAAAATGTTATCTATTGATGTGGTAATGCTGACATGGTAATACAGGACATAATTACTTTAAAAACAGCTATAATTTGTTAAAAGACTAAAGGAATAGTATCTTACCTTAAATGAGACATCTGTAATCACACTTTTCCTTTGGAAGTATGAAGACATTTATGACAGAGTCTACTAGGATGTTAATTTATTGTACAAGTCCTTAGATTTGATATTTTTACATGAAAACATGGCTCACTTCTGAAGAGAACCATCACTGTATGCATCCTCCTATCACAATTATTTGATAGATTTAATGATGTGACATCTAAAAGGCATAGGTGTGAAAACACAGTAATATTTCACATTTCATGTAAGAACAGTTTAAGCAGACTATTTGCAGTTCCATTTCATCAGCACGAGGGGTTTGATGTTCATCACAGTGCATTTTAAGGGGTAGGAGTGACAGATATTCTTATCAACCACAAAATGATAAAACCTAAATGATAAATCCTTGATTGATTTCAACCAATATCACAGGCTATTACATGAAATACGTTCTGCCAAAATACCAGATGCGAAAGATGCTCAGTCTTAGGAGATCAGTTTAGTGCTCCGTCCTTAAAGGATGCAGTCATATTGAGGTATAAGTCTGTCACATGAAGCATTAACAGGGATTTTTTCCATAAACTAAGCAGTTTTTTTGCTCCGATGAGAACTTAATATCATCCCACATGTAGGACAAATGACAGCTCCCTCCCGTAATAATTCAGCTCCCCCTTTTTGTGGGAATTATCTAAAATGATCAAATCACTAAGCAGATCAGTGGAAGGAATGAGATCCAGCAGGAAAAAAGCATTCTTGGCTTGAAAACTTCCCCCTACTGCTTGAAAATGGTATACAGGAGAAGTTACGAATCCAGAAACTGGAGATTTGCTGAACACAACACAAGAGAAATTTTTTTTTTTTAAAATGGGGAAGAGACTTAACAATGGCAGAATTAAACTTGGAAGTTAGTTTTTGAAATAAAAGCTTTTAATGAAGGAAAATATATTTCATTTTGGAATTGAATTCAAGTTAATATGAAACCTCTTTTTAGTCCAGTAGTTTCTATAGCAGGTGGAGGAATGGAATCGTCCCTAGATCTTCTTACTGAATAAGCTGATGAGCCAGTTAGTGAAATTAGTTAAGTGGAAGCTCCTACTTTGTGTGTGGCAACGCTCTCGAGCAGTCAAAAACAATTAGTCAATCAACTGCTTATGACTTGGAAAGAGTAACCACCTGCCTTTCTTCTGAAGAGAACTTCTGCTGGAATCATGGAAATATTTACGATAAAAACCTATTCAGTTAAATTCCTTTCTAGAAATAATAATGCAGACATAGAAGTTGACATGATTCTCAAATTGCCTAGGATAATTAATGAATAAGTGATGCCATTTAATGAGGCTCAATATTTCTGTACCATTGTGTGTCTGGGTGCTATTTTATAAATCTTAAAACTAATCAAGTGTGCTGCAAAGAGATGCAAACTAATATCTGCTTGACATGGTTAGATTTCCATGTTTTGATCATGTATAGTGTAATCTGAAACTGTAAACATTTTCAGAAGCTACTCTATTTAATTTTTTTTCCTCCTCAGTATGTAAGGTAATTTTCTAGCTGAGCAGTTTGTGAATGAGCTTCAAAATACCTGATGAGAAATTGAGAATCATGACATGGTCACAGAATCAGCCAAAAGTATGTCAGTTCCCTCCCCAGAGAGTACAGAGAAATATGTCTATGAGAGACATCAAGCTCCCTGAACTACACAGCGTCTGAAACGACTGTGATGCCCATGGAGAGAGAAACAACTGATGATGTTTAAAAAGAAAGTGCTTGTAAAATGCTGAAAGTCTCCTTGAAAAATGATTTACTAGCATGCCCTATCTTGCACATATGTCTTCCTTTTTAAATGTGCCACCAAATGATTAATACCCTTAAGATAATTTTGAAATGCATATTATATAACCCGCAGCAGAGCTGGTAATCTGTACCTCTTCCACTTGTCCCAAATTAGTTTTGTGGTAGGGAACTCATATAGCTGTACACCGAGAGCGAGGATAGCTATTAAAACAGTTCAATTGGTTTACGGTTGTATTTTTTCATGAAGAATGAAGTTTTAAAATGTACATATCTTAATAAAAATCAGTGGAGAAGGGTGTAGCGGTGTTACCCTATATTAACAAAAATCAGTGGAGATGGGTATTTACAGAAGCTGTTTGGAAATAAGGTATTAATTATTTTGTGTAAAACTGGCTATCAATAAAGCCATTTAGAACCTAACCAATTGAGCATCTAGCACACATAATTATTTTCATTTGAAAATTCAGCCGTGCGAAGTAAGGTATACTAGTGGTTAAAACATTTCTTTCCCTCCCCTTTTAATTTAACCTCTCGCTCTGGAGACTGGAGACTTGTTTAGAACTTATCGAAGTTTCCCAAAGCAAAACCACGCACCAGTTCCTAATTCAGGTGCCAGATCTGTGTGCAGCCTCGCTCAGCTTCTGACTATGCCAGGCAACACTTTATTAATCATGGATGAATTTCTGTGCATGTGCCCTGGAGCGATCACACACGATGCAATCCCAGTCAAAAAAGGATGCCTTACCTGGTGGCAGACACGGCAGCTGCAGGAGCAGCAGCAGAGACGGCAGCAGCAGGATGCAACAACCCCGGCTCGCACGGAAGGTGAGACCTTTCTCTTTCTCTCCCTCTTGTTTTCCTTCTAAATCACTGTAGCAACAAACTGCCTTGCATTTTGTCCCCGTTTATTCATAGAAGGTTCTCCAAGCTGGGCAGCCAGCAGACACCACTTTCTTCCTGGAAGAGGCTGCCTCTCTTCTCAGAAACGCTTGGACCCCTCTCTGTGGCTCCCTCCACGTTTACCCTTCAGATCAATAATCCTCTCCGAGCGGCTGGAGCTCAACTGCAGCGGAGAGCGGCCAGCCAATGGGGGCCCAGGATTCCCTCCCAGTCATCTCCCCGCCCTCAAAACAAAACACAGCGTGCCTTTGACACATCATCGAGTTGTGAAAAGTAATTGAATCCTATATTTGAAATTTATCTTGTTTGTTCTTTTCCCCCCTAGTGTTCGCTGTAGAATGCTTTGAATGAATCGAAGGACTGCACAGCTCTCAGAACACTCGTTAAAGGATCTTAGGAGTGAGTGAAGATCCGGGCTGGAAAAGTGAGAGCACCTGGCTTAGGTAGCGCCTGGAGCTGGTGTGTAAATGCTCGAGGACTGTGGAAAATCAGAGAACTATCAGCTGGGAGGCAGAAGGCTTCGGTTCTAGTCCTCACTCCACCTACCTAAGTAGCTTGATTCTTTTCTCTTGGGGAACAAGAAAATCAAGTCCATTTTACTTGAAAGTTGTCTTACTCTCTAAATTTTGTCGGAACAAGAATCAGCTGCTAAGTGATGCTATCTACCTTATTCAAGCAATTTCTTCTAGTTTATTTACCTGTGTCTATTGAACTTGATCCAGATTCTACAGGCAACTGAAAAGTGTTCAGACTATATAAATTCGTCTCGTTTGTTTAATTTTGGCGTATTTATTTATTGTAAGATTTTTTAAATTAATATAAATTTCTCTTAGTGAGGGAGTTTGTTAGCGATTACTTGCAACTTTACAGAGTACTATAATGATCAAAAAACTCTTATAATGAAGAGTAACACTGTTGTAAACAATAATATTACTTCCTCTAAATTCCAAAACCACCAAGCATGCTTTATCCATGGTGATCTTTCTTTATATTTCTGTTTGTTCACAACCTCTGGAGTTCCCCAAGGTGAAATTTGAAACTGGCCCAGTGCACTTAGGGCAAGGAGAGACGGGAAAAGAGAGGCAGGCCACTCCAGATTGGTGGGTGGCAGGTTTAATGAGGAAGGGAACTTACCACCCACTCGACTGCTAGAATCTTAAAAGTTTATATAGAGGCCTTAACGGAGTTCAATCACATACACAGTTCAAATGGTCGTAAAAGGGTATTACTCTCAAGGCTGCAACCTTGAAGTGGCTCCCAGTATGGAACAGAGACCAACTGTATGTTTCAAGTACAGAGGAGGCAGATAAGGAGCCTCTAATCCTTGAGATCCAGCTCACGGGTCAATTGGCGGTCACGTTCACTCAATGAGCTCCAACAATTTCACTGTTGAAGTGCTAAGTATTGAGTAAAAATTTACTTAAAAAAGTTCATCAGGAAATCATTTATTTTCTCTCCAAGAATCTAAGTGACTTTATCATTTATATGTCAAAGAATGCAGCAATATTTGAGATCATCCATTTAACCTAAGTATATAAAAAATCTCAGGAGTACAAAATGTCTGTGCAGTTTTAAATATTATACATAAGTACAGGTAGGATTGGTAGCTTGAACAACTACACAAATAAGAATCTTTTCGATGTCACTGTTGAATAAGAATAAAATAAATGTGTCTTTCTGAAATCTTTTTCTTCCACTGAAGAAAGACAAATGGGTTGATGCATTTGGTGTAGCCAAGCTTTGTGCATCGTGACAAGTTGAAATAGCTTGGGGAGACTTTAAAAACAAAACAATTTTGTTACCTGTCCATCATATGAAGGAGGCATGGAAAAGCCTAATACTTACAGCACTGTATGCTGTGTCGCTATAAAAAGGTGAACGATAACTTTGTTGTAACTCACTCCTGTAGGCAAGAAAATTTTATTCAGGGCATTCTCCGGCTAAGTGTAGTCACCAGGCTCTCATGAAGAAAGGAATATGCTAATGAAATGAAAATAATAAACATTGTTTATTTCTTTCATAATAAAATGTATTCAATTCTTTGAATTCATTTGTTAATCACAAATAACAAGCCATTGACTACAGAATATTGTCTTTGTTCTATTGGTCAACAGTTTTTGCACGTGTGGTCCCAAGACCAGTAGCAAAAGCATTACCTGGGAACTTAAGGAAAAGGCAAATTCTCAGGCCTTTCCTCATTCCTATTGAATCAGAAACTCTAATAAGAGTGGTATCCACAATTCCATGTTTTAATATCCCTTCTGATGATTCCAAGGCACCCTCAAGTTTGAGTCATTGCTTAAGGAAGGGGTCTGCGAGCTACTGCAGCACAACAGTACCTAATTTTGTAAACAATGTTTTATTGGAGCACAGTCATACCTATTCTTCCCGTATTTTCTATGATTTCTTTTGCACCACATTGGCAGAGTTAAGTAGTTGACACAAAGACCTCGGACCTGAAGCCTAAAATGTTTACTGTCTGTCTCTTTAAGAAAAATCTGCCAACCCTTGCCTAGGGCATTATAAGATGTGCCATATAATTAGTACAGATGGCAAGAGTTGAGAAAGAAGTGACATTTGAAGATGGGGTGGACACAACTGGATTTATGAAATCAATGGGATTTGGAATAGAGTGAAAACGATGATGTGGGAAATTATATTAGTGTGCTTTTTACAGATTTTTACTGTTCTACCCTGGGGAAGCAATTTACTTCTTTCCAGTTTTGGTATATGACTGGCTTTGAAAGATGAATGAAAGAGAACATTATCATTTCCAAGTAGAATATTGAAGAACAAATATAAGGTTGTACCCACTTCATATAGAGGCTTTCCTATCAGCCTGGTCTGTTGAATGAAGAGAACACTGGAGTCTTAGCTGTCCTAAAATTGAAACTGTAGCTTAAAAGGGTAATAAAGCTTTCATTTGTAAGTTACTGAAATTTGGGAGAGTATGTTGCCACCCAAGAACCTAATCTAACCTGACTAAAACAAATAAGTAGAATTAAAGGAATTAGAGGTAAGAAACCAGTGCTAAAGCAAAAGTGATGACTGGGACAAGGTATTTAATGGGAAACTCAAAATCATTTTGAGGAAAGAACAGTAATTCTTTAGCAATGGGGAGCCATGGAAGGCTGTTTAGAAAAGGAATGACATCATCAAAATTATAAGAAGATTACTCTGTTGGCAAGGGAGAGAGAGAAAGACAGTAAACAAAAGAAAATTCATCACAAGGCTGTGAAACATTAAAGCATGATGTAATATGGGCCAGAACTCAAGCACTGTCACCCTTGTACCTACATTCAATGACTCAACAAGTTCCATCAACTAGACTTCCTAAATACCATTAAAAGCGTCGTTTCATCATTTATTTTATCCACAATTGTCATTGTCTTGATTCAGGCTTTCACCTGTCTTCCTTGGAAGTTTGTAGCCATCTCTTAATGAGCACCTCTGTATCCTCGACATGTCTATTATTGGTCAAGTATAGTTTTGCCTCACAACATTTCCAATCTTACAGAAGAGGATGAGGAGACACAGAAACCAGGAGATCCTTGTTCAAGCAACAAAAAGAATAACTTGGGCTCAAAAGTGACAAACATCGCTTCTGTTTATATTTCCTTGGCCAAATAAAATCAGACACATTGCTAAGGGTGATGTCAATGTGACAGAGACATATAACCTTCCTAGAGGAAGAGAAACATTGGAGAATAGTATGATCTACCACATTCTCCTCTGATACTAAAACTAAAAGATGAGGTTGCCTACCAGGTGGATAGAGATCATATTTTCTTTACCTTTGTTTTGCCATTTCATATCTTGTACTTATTGTTAAACTGAAACAATTTCAAACAAACAAGACGAATATAAGAAATTGCATAAGAATAATTGAGATTTTATTAAATGTGGGTGCAGACAGTAGAGAGAAGGAAAAAAAATCAGTGCTCATTGTTTTAAATCTGGGAGATTATGCATCCTTGCTGGTATTCTCTTTAGAGGATGAATCAAAGGCCCGTGAGCACGTAGTTTACGTACCAGGTGATCTCCAGAACCAGTGCAAAGGGGCCTGATCAAAGTGGCAGCTGTGTATAACATGGCTTGGTTCCACAGGGATTTCCAGAGAAGTATACAGAATACCTCCAAGAATTTTCCAATCAAAAGGCTAGAAGCTTCCTCCTTTTATTGATCTAGGCTGATACATACACATGTAGACACAGTGACTCCCATCATTCTTTTCAGTGTAAAAGGAGCCTGTCCTCAGCAAGGACAAGCTGTGCTCACTTGAGGGATTCACCTTGAGTAAAAAAGTGGATCACAACCACATGGGTCAGTGCCTCTCAGCTGCAACTGAAATCAGGGGGTCCAAAAAAAGTGTAAGCTTCTCGTCTGATATCCTAAGATAACAGTTACGTCAATAACAAAGGGCAAAAGGAGAAAGTAAACTTATAAAAATGTCGTGTCAAATATTCTGGGATTCAGATCAAAGCAGAAGACCCAGATTGTCCAGGGTGAGCTGATGATTCAAAATAACTGGACAGAGCCTACTGCCAGAGAATGTAGCAGGAAATAAGAGATTTGACTAGTCATCCAATAACAATAATAAAACACTACAACAATTATTACTAATAATAAATGGGCTAATATTTACTAAGCACTTACTAGATGTCAGGCATATTATTTCACTATATGTTTCACTTATTATATCACTTATGTCAGGTTAAATATTTCACTTATATTTTCATAGTGCGTGTGAAGGTGGTAATATTATTTTCTCCAGTTTACAAATGAGAAAACAAAGTCATGGAGAAGTTAAATAACCTATAATGGTCATAAACAGAGTAATCAGTGGAGTCAGGATTTGAATCATGGCAGTTGAACTCCAGAGCTCATTTTCATAATCACTAAACTCTAATGCTTGCCTCTAATATTTCTTTATTGCCATATAAATACAAAATCTGAATACAGCAGCTTTATGGGTTTTGATTTCAACGGTGGGAGAAATATTGATTCTTAAGAAACAGCATTTTTCCCCTCAAAAGATGACTGATATTTTAATAACCCATTGAACGAATAATTGTTGAATTTTACAGTGTACATTGCTTTGTGTTAGGGGTGAATGGTGAATGCAAAAGAGGAAACCCTGTAATCTCTGTAGACTCAAGAAAAAGCCTTGGGCCA